TGAGTCATATTATTTTTTTATTTTTTACACTTTTTTATAATAAGCCAATAAACCAAAAAAAAAATGTCATTTTCCAAAATAGGCTTCAGTGGGGTGTCAAAAGAATTTTTACAAAATTTAAAATTTGTTAATAGAGTCCGGAGAAGATAATGAGGTGCTAATAGTAACACCCATTTAAATTTGAGTAACAAGCCATTAAAATTTCATCCACTCCTTTACTCAAACTTGTACCAAATTAGTTTACTCAAATCAAGGAAGACCCATTTCCTTTACTCAAATTTCTATCCAATTCAAATTTGGCATTTGGAAACTTTTATCCGACCATTTGACTAATCTCTTTTACTGCAACCCATATCTTTCAATCAAAATTGAGACTGGACAGTTTTACTCAAATGTGAGCTTATTTATTGGAGTTTTTCATATTAAATAAGTTTTTTGCTCAAATTTTTACTCAATTTGGTTATAAGTATGAGTAAATATAAGAAATGGCCTAAGATGGTATATTAATAAAGGTTTAAGAAGAAGCAGTCTGTTAGGTGTTTTAGGTGAGAGAGTTAAAAAAAAAAAAAATTGAGTGATCTCCTGTCTGAGTAGGAAAATTTTAAAAATAAATAAACAAACGTTTGTCTTTTCACCACCATGTTTTTTTGTTTTTTTTTTTTTAAAACTATTTCACCACCATGTTTGAATTAGTGAAAAAGCAAAACATGTAAGATTGGGCTAAGAGTGAAATTTCTATTCTTTTTTTTTTGGGCTAAGAGTGAAATTTCTTTTTTTTTTTTTTTTTTTTTTTTTCTTCCTTTGTATTTGTGATAGCCTATCTTGGTCAATCTCACTGGCTTTTTTCTTTTCTTTTTTTTTAAGAAATAAAAGTGACAAAAATAAGGGAGTACTCTGTCTTTCTATTTCTCATCTAATTTAATCAAATATGAGAGAGAATTCTATTTCTCTTTATTTTTATCATTTCTCACCAAATCGCTCAAAGTAAAACAGGCTGCAAATGGATCAATCAGTTTGACATTTTGCACAAAAAATCTGTCATGCTTCAGACTGTAGAGAGAGAGAGAGGCCAACTCTAGCACTTTTTGTTGAGGTGTAGCAGTAAATGAACCGTCTCTAACCAAATGAGTTGAATACCAAATTAACTGATATCCATGCATGCATTAGGACCTCATGAAACGGAATCTACTATGAATTCTAATAGTCACTTGGAGGAAATGAGAACATATAGCTGGCCCCAAGTAAATGGAACAAGGTTTTTTGAGTGAAATGAGTTGGTTTTTCGATTTTTGTCGTCATAAGGTGTGTTTGGTAAAATTTATAAGCAGTATTTTTAGCCTAATTTTTGGAAATGTGTTGTCGGTGGAAATACTTTGGCAATCTGTGTTGTTTGGTAAAATTTTCAAGGTTTTAAAACTTATTTTCTTTTTCAGCTCAAAAAACAAACTTTTTTTTTCAAGTTCGATTGAAGATTTCTTAAAGGCTGTCAATAAGTTTTTTTAATGTATTATTTGTTAAAACCTACACCTACCACACACACTCACCTACTTCACCTACTCTCCACCTACTCCTCACCTACTCTCAAATCCTCTCCTATATAATAGGAATCCTTATAATATACACAACACATCAATCAATAATACATCACTTTTAACATGGTATAAGAGCAGGTTTAGAACCTAATATTTTCGCTTCTCCGGCGGGCGGCAACCTCACCTTAGCTGCTCGCCGGACCTCAACCTAGTCCGCTGAATTCTCCAGATATACCTTCACTCCCCTATACCTTCCATCCCTAGCTTCCCTCACACTCTCTGTCTCTCTACTACCATGGGCGAGAACTCTAGCTGGAAAACAAAGCCCCACCACCGAACAAGCCCACCACCACAAACCACCGCAACAACCTTGTCCGACCTACCCAGACTCATCATCATCGATCGTCCGTCTCTTCTCAAAAATTGCTCTCTGCGTGGTGCCCTCTTCCGTCTTCGCTGTCTGCAGATGGCTTCATCCACTGTCAACCGATGGTTGAGGCCCGAGGTTTATCCATTGTTTGCGGCCGTAGGGTTAGCTGTCGGGATTTGCGGATTCCAGTTGGTGCGCAACATATGCATCACTCCTGCAGTCAGGGTGAACAAAGAAACAAAAAGGGCTGCAGGTGTGCTGGATAACCATGTAGAAGGAGAGAAGTACGCCGAGCATTTTGTTCGGAAGTTTGTCCAGGGGTATAAAACCAATCTGCTTCCTCGGGAATGCGGGTTCGAACTGTGCTAGACAACACGAAATGATGCATGCAGATCTCGGCAGCCTATGCACATGGGCACACACCATTCACACTGCCACATAGACCTATGCACATGGGCACACACCATTCACACTGCCACATACACACACATGCACGACATCTCTCTCACTTTTAACCCTCTCTCTCTCTTTTCTTTTTATTTTAATATTCACATTCACTCCATTTTATCTTTCAACTCAAGCAGCTGTCTGCTCCCACCGCCCATCAAAGACTTGTTTTATCTTATTTTATTTTATTTTAACCCCCTCCTCATATTTTATCATCATCATTTTTCCCATCATCATCTTCTCCCCCATTCTTTTCTTTATCACACCTATCTTTATCTCTTTTCTATGCAACTTCCACCGGCGCACATGCTATTCGCCATTAATATATTGTTATTCTTATTAAATATTAAAAAAAAAAAAAAGCAACAGACAAGTGCACCGCAACAGACAAGTGCACAAAGCACTCACATGACATCGTTTTTAAAACACATTTTCCTTTTCTTCTTTTATTTCTTTATTCTTTCTCCGCCCACATTTTATTTTTTATTATACAATTTACTTGGTGCTCTATTTTTATTCATTATTATATATTCTTCATCACCATGCTTATCATTTCATCACCATCTCCATATTTTTTTTTTTTTATTATTCGATTCCCTTACTTTTCACAACCCAAAAAAAAAAAAAATCACCAGAAAAACCTTCTGATCCAACCAATTCCAATGGAAATTGCCTTGCCCCGGATTGATCACTCCAAAACAGAGAACTCAGACTCAAATAAACAGAAAGTCAATGCAACTAGAGGACAAGAGCTTCCTGATCCTTCAATTTTCCAAAACTAAGCCTCTAACATACCCAAGAGAGCAACTTCATCACTTGTGTTTAAGAAACTTGCAGAGTTTGGCCTTGCTATTCAATTCAATGTCAATGAAATCCTTTAAGAAATCTTCCCTACCACAAAAACCAATCTCCACAGTTCTGGCAGTTTGAAGTGGCAATTTGAAGCATTCGATCGGCGTGATCCTGTAAAAGAGTTTGCAAATCGGGATTAGCCCCAATTTGCAAAATGGGGTCGAAACTTTCCTCACGAAATCTTGCAATTCCTAATCGCTTGGGAGTTTCTTTGTAATGAAAGGAATAAATTCTATGAAACAGCATACTGATTAATAACATATTGCTCTAAACTCAACAATTAACTCGTCAGAAAACTGACTTAATTCCTACATTCCTACAGAAAGACAACCAGGTACTGTTATAAACTTGCTCTCAAACTCGGCTGTATGCAACTAACTTGATGAAAAGGGTCCTAATACATAACCTCTCTTGTTGACTCGTTGAGGTCGGGAAAGAGAGTGAGCAGACCACGGGAAGACGAGGCCATTTTCTGGGCAACAGAGTGTTACAAAGTATTACAGAGTTTCTCTCTCAGACAACGAAAAGTTTTTTCAGAGTTTTTTAGCGGGTTTTCTGCCACAACCTCAGCCTCCGCTTCGGTTTATAAAGACCATGACGAAGAGGCAGACACGCGCATCATGCGCCGCTCGGCGCTCGCCGACAACTTGGCACGCCTTTTGATGGCACGTCTTTTTATGGAATGGACACGCCTTTTGATGGCACGCCTTTTGACAGATTGGGCACGCCTTTTGAGGGTGCACCTTTTCCAACGGTCCGACATGACCCCATAAACTGTCCCGACATTGATTCCGGTTAGCTTTTCCAGTGTCCTCTACAACGTTATGACACAACCATCCAGTGTCCTCTACCACGTTATGACACAACCATCCAAGTGTCCTCTACAACGTTATGACACACCCATCCAGTGTCTTCACCAACGGTCTGACACGACCATACAGTGTCTCCTATCCTCTTTTATTTTTTGTGTATTTTCTTGTTTTGTTACTCTCTCCAAACTCAAGTTGATTAGTTCCTATCCCCCTTGAGTTTGCGGGGGACTGTTAAAACCTACACCTACCACACACACTCACCTACTTCACCTACTCTCCACCTACTCCCAAATCCTCTCCTATATAATAGGAATCTTTGTAATATACACAACACATCAATCAATAATACATCACTTTTAACATTATTTTTTTAAACTTTCAATAAAATTTACCAAATTGTAACCATTATGCCTTTTATATAGTAATCGTGTGTAATTTGAATGAAGTTTATGTTTGTGATTCACATTCTATGGTTTGAAAGGCACTGTCTAATGCAAGCATCTAACTCTGCAAAACAGGACTGCATTTAACTCTGCAAAACAGGACTGCCTCCTTGCAAGAAACAGAGAAAGATACAGTTGCAACATATATAAATACACCAACTCTATGCATTCTGTCTTGGGTGTGCTTTTGTATGTACTGTAAAGATTTATGGTGAGCTACAACCTAAGCAGGACTTCAAGTAAATTCTAACTTTCGAATTTACTTCCTTCAAGTAAAAACTTTATTTGGGAATTTCATTTTTAGTATCATTTATTTTTTGACACATTTCTAAGAGCTATGGTGAGATTTATGGTGTCAAGGAGAACATTTAGCTTTAGAGATTTATGGTGTCGAAAGTTCTATCAGGCATATCATATATATACATTTAACTGTTTCGATTCACTACTAATAGAACTTTTGATAAACCAATATGGCTTGTGTGATCACTCTGACTTTCATCTACCAACCAACCTCCAAAATTCCAATTCCTTATCTATATGGTCATTGAAGATGAAACATATTTCATTTAAAATCACCATAACTTTTCATTCACGATAAGGAATTGAAGCAAAATACACAACAAACCTCATTGACACACCATTTTTGAAACTCTTCAATGACAAGAAATCTAAATGTTACAACACCATAGAAGGCAAGAAACATACATGCATGATTTTGTCCCTACGGCAAACATATAGAATCCTTATTGGCAATATATGCAGCTTTAGGTGATTGACACATTCTTAAGGCAATAGAAATATCAATACTAACAACAAAACGGATCATCGGAGAAATGTTGACTGGAATTAAGACAATCTGCCTCCCATTCCAATGAAAAAAGGTTTATATGGTACTTAGAAAGGAAGTAGGACTGGGAGGCACTGGGATGTCTACAGACCCTTCCAGCATCAACATAACTTTCTTCATTGAAGGACGAAGCGACGGATCATCTTGGATGCACCAAAGACCTATTTTCACCACTCTCTCTAATTTTTTCTTTTCCACCTCTTCTTTATCAACCAATAGTTTATGAAGCTCCTTGGCTTGAAAACAATCATAAACCCATTCTTCAAGGACAGCTTCTTCCTCAGCAAGGCTCCACTCCAAACATTTTCTACAACATATGATCTCCAACAACATAACTCCAAAGCTGTAAACATCTACTTTGACTGTTACTGGTAACTTCCGGTGCCATTCAGGCGCGACATAACCTTTTGTTCCTCTCATTGCCGTGAAAGTCTTTGTCTGGTCTGGCTTCAAAAGCTTTGCCAAGCCAAAGTCACAAATTTTGGCACGCCCATGATCACCCATTAATATATTTTGCGGCTTTATATCACAATGGATGATCTGCGTCTCGCACTCTTCGTGCAAGTAGAGTATGCCTCTGGCAATGTCGAGAGCAATTCCAATTCTTTCATCCCAACTTGGCCGATTTTCGGGTGTGAAGATGAAATTTGCAAGTGATCCATTACGCATGTACTCATATACCAGAAGCCTATTAGGTCCGTCAAGGCAATAACCAATCATCTGAACTAGGTTTCGGTGATGGGCTCTCCCAATAACTCTTATCTCTGTCTGAAATTCTCTTTCACCCTCAGTCAATAATCTCTCTAGCCTCTTCACAGCTACATCCTTTTGGTTGTATGATGTGAATCCTTTAAAAACAGTCCCAGATGCTCCTCTACCCAATTCTTCATTGAACCCATTCGTCACTTGCTCTAATTCCTTGAAAGTAAAAGTTCTTAGAGCAGCATCCTCACCCAATTCAACAGCATTGCCTTTTTCAGAGATCTTTTTATATACCCAGACATGGTTTCTATACATAAGGACACTTGAAATTGCCAACACCATCAAGGCAATAGCAATAAGTGAAACACCAATGATTAGGATGTCTAGTCTCTGTTTTCTCTTTGGTTTCTTGGGTGGATGATCACTATCAGTTAGAACACCTTTTGTGTTAGGTGAAGAATAATTACCCACCTTGATTAAGGCAACATTTGAATCATCTACCGATCTTCTTCCAAATCTCAATGGAAACCTTTGCTTTCTGCACTTTCCGTCTTTGTATAGCGCCGCTTCACAACGACAGTCCTGCAGACAAGCATCTTCACATTCTTTTCTGGAATTCAGCTGTAGCACCATATATGAATCATCATCCCACACGGTATTCTCCAATGGGCTTATGTTGTATCTGGAATTGCCATCCCCATCTATCGTCTTGCAACTTTCTGTGGTGAAATTTCTCATGCACCCTGAAGCCCAACTAATTGGATTAACATAAACAAATCCTGGAATGCATCTACAATCGGCAATGTTATCATTTAGAACACAGAACCCATTAAGGCCGCATAGACCTAGAGAATGGCAATTATCGTTTGAAGATTGCCACAAAATCGACCAGTTGGCATTTGGATCCAAGATACGTGAATAAACTCTGAAGATTCCGTCCACATCAATTTTCATCATGTAAATCTTTTTTTCCTTTGTAGGTGGTTCTCCTTTGGTGAGATTAAAAATATTAGTGCTTGTTGCGTTGAGCAGGTAGAGATGGCCATCCCCGTCCAGATTCAACGAACAATTATCTCCATTTTGATTAGTGTTTGATGCCCAATAAGCATATTGGGACTCTATTGCAGACGCCGGATACTGGACGAGGTTCCCATCTCTTTGCATCACCAGACGGAAAATCCCTGTCGAGTGGTTGGTACCTGAAACACTGGAAAACAAGTCTAGCCCTGCCAACAGAGGTTGACCAGACAAAATAGTGTCTGTTGGGAGCCTAAAGCTCTGCCAGATTACGGTATGATTAGAATCATAAAGCACGAAGTTACCTGAATCGAGCATGGATGCTTCAAAAGCAGGTTGAGAAATGTCAGCAATGTAAGTGACATCTTGGCTTTGCGGTTGCTGCAGGATGAGCCTTCCATCACTCGTCAAGGCCAAGGTTGCATTGCTTGGGACCGGGGGTTTGTCTCGGTTGGCTGTCCAGACTATAGTATTTTCTGGAATTCCAGCCAAAAAAACTCCGACAGCATAGCCATTGCCTTCCGGGTAGAATCCGAAGGCATACAGACCAGACCTTGACAACCATGAGGAGTTAGTGGTGGGGGTTAGAGAGGAACCTAGGCTTATACTTGAGTTTCTTTGTTGTTGTGCTTCTATTGTAATTGTATGCAACAAAGTTGAAGAGAGAATTATGAGGAAGAAGATTAAGATGGCAACAGCCATGGAAGTGAACAAAGCTCTCTCCTGTGCTGAACCTTTTTCTATTTGGTTTCTTGAAGAAATGTAATACACAAGTTGTTGTCTTGCCTCAAGTTTATAGTCTATGGAAGAAATGAAAGTCTTTGTGGACCCGCTCAAATTTTCTTAAAACTATAATCCTCGTTAAACCATCCAAATTTATAGTGATTTAAAACAATGTGATATGATAAATAATTTCAATTCACAGAAATGAGATAGGTTTGAATAAAATGATCATTTTTTAACTTTCTTATGAATTTATTATTTTTTTATAATGGTGAATGAAAATTGTATTTATAATACATTAATTATCATATTTTTTTAAAAAGTAAATTAGATATGTGAATGAAAATTATGATAAAATAATCATTCTATTTCATTTTATTATAGTGAACTAAACACTACTTAAGGAATTAATTATAATGGTGTCAGATGAAATTGAAAATTAAAATTAATTAATTGGTAAAAAGTTCATGTTCATTGGGCAATATATTATTTGGTTTAAGATTTGATTTTTTATTTTTTTTTAATGATAAGAACATGTTTAATGTAATTTGGTGAAAATGACTATTCTTTTTTGAAGATTTTTTTTTTTTTTTTTTTTTTTCCAAATCGTATCTCATTGTTGGACCGCCGCCGGAAAGCTTCTTCGAAAAGTCATGTGGTGAAAGGAGTGGTGGTGATGATTTGCATAAATATGTGGATTAGATGGATAGGTAGGTGGTGAGATAACACGTGAATACATAGGAGAAATGAATAAATAGATAACCTTGAACAGATAGATAGACGAGGGTAAAATAATTTTTAAATTATAATTGTTCACTCTCAAATAATGGAGTTTTGGTCCAAAAAATTTATAAATGGACCCCATCTGAGAGTCCAATTAAAAATTAAGTATTAGAAATATAATATATTAATTTTATAATAAATATAAACAAGTGTTAATTTTTCTATGAGAACCTGGGCATCATTAAATCTCACAAATATTTGTGTAGATCAAAAAGTCATTTTGCATATAAAAAGACTTCTTCTTCTCTTTATCTTTTTGATATGCCAACTAGCCAGCGATTATCGACTATCATAGATTGGGATTCAACTACTAATAGCTTGCCACAATCGCTCCTCCGGCTCACCGGCTTTGCTCTCACCTCCTTCGTCATTGGCGAACCCTTCTATCTGTCCTCTTACACTCCCCTTGCCTTTCTCCATTGTCATTGTCGATTAGAGCTCCATCATTATCGTTCTCTGTCAGCTTTAGACCAAATCTAACTATATCTATATCAGATCTGGCCAGACCTAAACAAAAAATGGTTATTAGAAGACAATATTCTCTCTATGTCTGTCTCTTTCTTTCAATCTCACTTTCTTCTTTTTCTCTACTATACACTTTTCCTTTCTTGTTTTAATAGCGAAAATTTTCAAATTCTAAATAAATATTTTTTCAATTTTAGTTATAGATCGTGAAAATTGGAAATTTTTACACTTTTGAAGATGCATTTCTACTTTTCTCTATTGCTTTTATCTTCTTTTTTTTTTTAAGTGAAATTTTTTTAACAAATATTAACTTTTTAAGGCCAACTGAGAAAAAATAGTCTCATTTTGGTAATGCTTTTCCGATGACTTAACCTTTTTCTTTCTCTTTATTAAAATAACAAAACAAATTTAGCAAATAAATATTAACAAACTGAAAAGTTACAAATCCTTAGAAACGAATCTAAGATCTCCACCATTGTCATGACATGAAATTGTGTTTTGATAAATTACAAACGAGCAAACTAATATTTTTACAGTTTTGAAACTGTAAATTTATGCAATTTGATGAGAAATAAATTTAAATTCCAAATTTTTTTATTTTGTGAACTGAAAATTATGTACTCTGTATGATAAGAATTTTTTTTTCCCCCCATGTTTTGTGATATTGGAGAGGATATGGTTAAATTTTGCAATATTTTTGCTCTAATTTCTCCCTTTATTCTTTTTCTTTTTTTAGCAATATTCTAGACATTTCAAAGAGTCTCCGACGATGTTTTGAACATTTCGGCGACTTTCGGTGACATTCGAAACATTCTAGTGACTTTCCGGTGATGTTTTGAACATTTCAATGAATCTCCAATAACTGTTTAACAAAAGTCCAGCGATTACCCGACAATGGTGGATGTAGCAACAGCAGTGAGAGTAGAATATAATGATATTTCGGTCTTTAAAAAATTAAAATTAAAATTTATAATAATAATTAAAAGTGAACAAAAAAAAAACTTTTTAATGCATTAAAAATTAAAAAAACTTATTAATGCATTTAAGCCCCATTTGGTAAGGGTTTGTTTTAACATAAAAGCTAAAAAATTATTAAAAAAAATCAAAAAATCTATAACCTATATCAAAAAACTCAAAAATTTTGTTTCTCTCTATTTTTTACATATCTTTTCGTAAAAAATTAAAAAATCATTCTAAATATATTAATTTTTTTACTTTATATTTTAACTAAAAAATTAAAATAACATATTTTCCAACCACGTCTTATTTCTCTAATCAGGACTTTTCCGTCAGTGCCCCCACCACCTTGGACCAAACAATAGCCACTGCAGTCTTTGTGGACGCGTAAATTTTTTTCTTCTTGACTGCTGACCTCACAAATCAATTGTTGACTTGGTAAATGATTTTTAGATCTTTCAACGTTCAAATAATTCCTTCCACAATGGAAGTTATAAATATCAATCAGATCTGACAGAGAGCTCTAAGAGTCATTCTAAATGCAATTTTATTGAGTTGGTAATACATTGAAAAAAAAAAAAAGGAAAAAAATAATACAAAAAGAAAAAAGATAAATTAATAGAGATTTTTATTGATAAGTCCAATTTAGAAGTGTTTTAACCCAAGAAGTCCATGAAGAATTTTTTTAACCCATTTAGTCCCATGTATGTATAGTTTTATTCCATAAAGTCCATTTTCTTGATTTACACTATTTTCTTGGACACTTATGCCCTTATATTTAATTTTGATACCCTTATAAATATTTTTTGAACAATTAGCAATTTAATTATGTGAACATTCATATTTTAAAATTCACATTGGTAGGAATGTAAAATTGGCCCGTGGACGGCCCGAAACCCGGCCGCGAGCCGGGGCGGGCCCGGCCCGTTGACAATGTGAATATTCACATTGACATATTAACATTCACATTAATAGGAGTGTAAAATTGGCCCCCGTCCCGTGGTGGCGCGAAACCCGCCTGCGGCCCATGGGCGGCCTGGGACGGGACCGGTCCGGCCCGTTGACAATGTGAATATTCACATTGACATGTTAACATTCACATTGATAAGAGTATAAAATTGGCCCGTGGCCTATGGACGGCCAAAAGCCCGCCCGCTGCCCGGAGCAGGGCCGGCCCGGCCCTGCCTGTTGACAATGTGAATATTTACATTGACATGTTAACATTCACATTGATAAGAGTGTAAAATTGGCCCGCAACCCGTGAACGGCCCGAAGCCCGACCGCAGCCCGAGGCGGGCTTGGCCCAACTCGTGACAATGTGAATATTCATATTGACATGTTAACATGCACATTGATAGGAGTGTAAAATTAGCTCGCGCCCCGTGGCTGCCCGAAACCCGCCACGACCCGTGGGTGGCCCGGGGCGGGCCCGGCCCGTCCTATTGACAATGTGAATATTCACATTGACATGTTAACATTCACATTCATAAGTGTGTACAATTGGCCCGTGACCCATGTGCAGCCCGAAGCCTGACCTCAGGCCGGGGCGGGCCCGGCTCGTTGGCAATGTGAATATTCACATTGACATGTTAACATTCACATTGATAGGAGTGTAAAATTGGCCCGCAGCCCGTAGGCGGCTCGAAGCCTGATCGCAGCCCGAGGCGGGCTTGGCCCGACCCGTGACAATGTGAATATTCACATTGACATGTTAACATTAACATTGATAGGAGTGTAAAATTTGTCCGCTGCCCGAAGTTCACCTGCGGCCCGAGGTAGGCCCGGACCCAAACCCGGGCCGCCCGTGGGACGCGAGTCAATTTTACACTCTTATCAATGTGAATGTTAACATGTCAATGTGAATATTCACATTGTCAACAGGCCAGATCGAGCCCGCCTCGGGTCGCCCACGGGCCATGGGCGTATTTCGGGCAGCCACGGGGCACGGGCTAATGTTACACTCTTATCAATGTGAATGTTAATATGTCAATGTGAATATTCACGTTGTCAACGGGCCGGGCCCGCCCCAGCCCGGGGCCGGGCTTCGGGCTGCTCACGGGTCACGGGCCAATTTTACACTCTTATCAATGTTAATGTTAATATGTCAATATGAATATTCACATTGTCAACGAGCCGGGTCGGGCCCGCCCTGGGCAGCGAGCGGGTTTCGGGCCGCCCACGGGCCACGGGCCAATTTTACACTCCTATCAATGTGAATGTTAATATGTCAATGTGAATATTCACATTGTCAACGGGCCGGACCGGGCTCGCCCCGCGCCGCCCACGAGCTTCGTGCCGCCCATGGGACGCGAGTCAATTTTACACTCTTATCAATGTGAATGTTAACATGTCAATGTGAATATTCACATTGTCAACAGGCCGGGCCGGGCCCACCCCGGGCCGCCCACGGGCCGTGGGCTTGTTTCGAGCAGCCACAGGGCGCGGGCTAATTTTATTCTCTTATCAATGTGAATGTTAACATGTCAATGTGAATATTCACATTATCAACGGGTCAGGCCGGGCCGCCCAGGGCAACCCACGAGTCGCGGGCGGGTTTCGGGCCGGTCACAGGCCGCGGGCTAATTTTACGCTCCTATCAATGTGAATGTTAACATATCAATGTGAATATTCACATTGTCAACGGGTTGGGCCGGGCCGGGCCTGGGCTTCGGGCTGCCCACGGGTCATGGGCCAATTTTACACTCTTGTCAATGTTATTGTTAATGTTAATATGTCAATGTGAATATTCACATTGTTAACGGGCCGGTCCGGGCCCGCCCCGGGCGGCGGGCTGGTTTCGGGCCGCCAACGGGCCGCAGGCCAATTTTACACTCCTATCAATGTGAATGTTAACTTGTCAATGTGAATATTCATATTATCAA